GGGCCCGCAGAGTGTGAAGCTAATGGCACTATGTTCAGTCAGGTCTGAGATGATGATGAAAGGGGGGCGGGGGTGGGGGAGGGGGAAGATTGACAGCCTAGGGGCGCTATCGTCACCGCGCCGCGCGACGCCGCGCCCCCTCAGGGGCACACTGAGCGACGAGATTACGCCCTAACGAGATTGACGCCTTGCGTTCGGGGCTGCCGGGCCGGGGGCCCCACCCCGATAGTGCGTGCCGACGCCCCCTCTCCCCCCTCACCCCGCCTATTCCGTCGCCACAGCGTTGCCAGAGCGCCCCCCCCCCCATCTCCACCTTCTCCCGCGAAGCGTCGCCAATTTTTAGCTTATTCCCGTTTATTGCCGGTGTCACCATGAAAATATGTGCGTTCCCTGCGTAATAATTCCCGTCGCGTTCGAGCGATGGACGTGCCGCCCGTGTGCCGCCCGGGTGCCACGGGGCGGTGCGCGGCGGGAGGACGGCGGCGGGGGTGGCGGGAGGGAGCCCCTTCCTTCCTCCGCTCCGCGGCACCCCGGCCGGGGCTGGCGGAGCTGGCAAGCGAATCGTGAAATTCGATAATATTCGCGGGGCGTCGGAAACGATGACCAAAGTGGCGTAAGATGGCTGGTGGGGGAGAGCAGGGGGTTGGGGGCGGTCCAGCACCGCGCCGCTGCCAGCACTGCCACCGCCCAGAGGGAGCGCGGGGTGCGAGGGTCACCCCGACAAGGTGGAAAGCCGACACGTTCGGACAATGACTCTTCCAAATCCCGGGCCTTAGTGTTGGCGTCGGGGCCGTGCGAGGCCAGTGGTGTGAGGGGGACGGGGTGTGAGGGGGGGCAGCGCGGCCTGGCGCAGCGCGTACGCACTGTTTACGGCGGAGGGAGGGGGCCCTGCTGGCGCCCTGCGGCGGGCGGCGGGGCCCGCGGGCCCCAATGGGGGCGGCCCACCCCCTCCATGGCCAGCGCGCTGCACCCCCTCCCTTCGACCCTCAGTCACTCTCCCTTTCAGCGGGCAACGGCCTCCCCCTCGTTCGACGCCCCCCTCCGGCCCGCCCCCTCCTCCTCCTCGCGCGCCCCCGCCGCCCTCGCCGCGCGTCCGCCCCCACCGAGCCTGCCGCCCCCGCGCGCGCACCGCCACGGCTGCGGGGGGGATGGGTGTTGTGTTTATGGTGGAAGTGGGTATATGGTCGCAAGTTCAAGTTCAGGCGCGGCTATTTCGCTGCGCAGCCCTGGGCCTGGGGGGGCCCTGGGGGAGCCCTCCCGTCGGGCCGCGCTAGCCGCGGTCGGGGCGGCAGGGGCTCGCGGCCGCGACGACTGTGATTCCCGCCCCGGGGCAGCGGGAGCGAGAGCGGCCCGCCTGGCGTCGCGGTGGAGGACAGGCACCTCGGGATCGTCGCGTCGTGTCGTGTCCACACGTGGGAGGCCTGCTCGCCAGCTCGTCCAGGTTAAAAGAAAGCCCGGCTTTCCGTATTTTAACGGTGTTTAGGTTGGGTTCGGTTGGACGCAGTAAAGATCAGCGACCGCATGGGCGGGTTGCCTCCCCGTGTGCCTCCTCAAAGTTCTATCGATCCGGAGAGGCGGGGCGGGGTGGTGGC